CCGAACGCCGTCGGGTTCGGACCCCGTACGGGACCCCGAACGCCCGTACGTACGGAGGTCTGCCCAGGGACCTCCGTACGTACGGGCTGGTGACCCTGGTTGTGCACAATTTTCAACAAACCATTGCGAATTTGATGACCCTTCCGTTCTCAACATGGCTAAACTTCGCGCTTCATGCAGCAAAGCTAGGGACCTTGGTGGTGTACTTTTCTGCCGGAGTTAAACCAGTGTGTTCCAGCACACAAAAGCACCTACCTTCTAGTGATGCAGGTCAGCATCAGCCCTGTGCGTGTTGCTTGCGCCCGGCGCAATACGAGGCGAGGGTGTGCTTCTGACCAGGCCAGTGCGTGTGTGCATTGGCTAAGTTAATTCTCTTTTGTCTTTCTTGAAGTGTTTAAAAGTGTCCGAAAGAGCTCATCCTTTTGGCGGAAAGCATGCCACCCAAGAAATCTACACTTCACAAAAAATTACCTATACTATGTTTCGTATTATTTCCAAAACAGAACCGGCTGCATAACAATATAAGAGTGTGTGAATTGTTTCATTTTGCGGTTCTCAATGCACAGAATATGCTTCATATGTGTGGTTCAGTTCACTCTCCGCATCTGCAATGGGGATAAGGACATTAGTAACAACCATAGTTGCGGCGCACCAGTGTGCAGTGCGGTGCGCGGCGGTGCGCACTGCGCTGGAACGACAGCGCGCGCACTGTGCGCCGTACGATGTGCGCAGTACGCAGTGCTGTCTCCCGTGCGCGGTGCGCACGCTGAGGGAGTGTCGCCCTGTGCGCAAAAAAAAAAAAGAAAGAAAAAGAAAAGATACGCCCCAGGAGAGAGAGAGAGAGAGAGAGAGAGAGAGAGAGAGAGAGAGAGAAAGAGATAAGAGGGAGACAACAAAGGGTCCCCTTCTCCTCAATTCGAGGCCCCCTGCAGGTACTTCGAATGGCTCCTACAATACATGTGGAGCCATTAAGGGCCAGCTTAAATGAGAAGGATGGCCTCGTCACGTGTGGGAGAGATGTGGGCAGACCACCAACATATGCTGTGGATTCGAGTTCAGAGCTGTAGCTCGGCAGTTATGGGTCACCAATTCAGCTAGACCCTGTTTGCGTCTCCACGTGATTCTCAGGGGCTCCCTCCACCACTCACCAAATGTATATAATATTAGTAGAATGCTGAAACATGGAACCATACACCACCATATGCTATGTCTTTTGTGCATTTGGTGAGTAGTGGAGCAGGCCCCACTGGATGTATTCGTAAGAAAACAAAAACAGAAAAACGAGAGAGCAGAATGAATCTTCTGCTGAAACATGGAACCATACACCACCATATGCCATGTCTTTTGTGCATTTCGTGAGTAGTGGAGCAGGCCCCACTGGATGTATTCCTAAGAAAACAAAAACAAAAAAACGAGAGAGCCACGGGCATCTTCATCCTAACCCATAACTGCCGAGATGCGGACCTGAACGCCAATCTTCAGCATATATTGGTGGTCGGCTAGCGATAGAACATGCAATGTGAGACTTCTGCGAAGCCTCGCGGGGCATGTCATTGTTAGGCGACTACCCCTTGTTGCGAACTGACCCCACTACTGTGTGGGATTTGCAGAAGGCAGCGGGAAGGACAGCTCTCATACCCCGTCTAATACGAAAGTTGGAATAAGCCCTATTTTTTGCCTCGCCATTCGAAACTTTTTGGGGAAGGGCCTGCGCAAATCGAATTTTCAGCAGCCCTTATCCAAAAGAAAAGTTGAGACCGTGTGCACGGCAGGTTTGTGAACTTGCGCGGTGAATTTAACATTTTTGCCAAGTTGGGGGCCCTAAGAAATTAGAAACCCCCTGCTTTTTGTCTGTTTTTTTTTTGGACCTAATTTTTCAAGTGCGCTACGCTTCGGTGCACTGTGCGGTGCGCGGCGCGACGTGCGCAAACCGTGCGCAAACCGGCGCACCGACGTGCGCCGCAACTATGATTAATATGTATGAGGGACGCTGGACCCGGTTTCCAGCAGGTGCACTTCCCATCAATAGAAAGGAGCCAGTAGCTGGGCTGATAGTGGTGGATGCTCGCATTACCACCACTATCAACTCCGCCGAGTTTCGTTGGAAAAAAAAAAAAAAAAAAAAAAAAAAAAAAAAAAAAAACACAGGAAAGCAAGATACTGCTCTGGGTGCTCGGGTCAGGCGATATGCGGGGAGCCATCAAATTGGTCAGCTCTTTTTGTGAACGACTGATGCATTCAGCCTGTGGGCCGAGTCCTCTGGAGGGCTCACTGTGAGACCTTTACGGGCTTTTGGGAGTACCCACAACTTTGTTTTCTTTTCGTCAACCTTTTGTTGCACACAATTCACTGTGGGCACGTCCGGGAAACACTGTAGCGGCTGTTTTCCAGACGCTCCTACAGTCTACAGCGATTTCGAATAGGCAAAAGTCTGTATGGTACGCACAACTACACAGCCCAAAACATTCCCACTTTTCATCAATCTCTTCAAAACACGGAACCCAAAACGATTTCCCCCTCCGTTAGTGCCCATGTGGACATCGGACTGTGCCTCGCGTGATTGATAAGGAGAGAGACATCTGACAGCCACGGGGCATCGTTTAGCTCCCCCTTTTCTCGTTTCTCGTGGAGGAATAATACGGCGCTGGCAGTACGAGGCCACACAGCAGAGGAACTGCACTTAAGTTTCCAAAAACAAAATCTGCCAAAGTTCTAACCCACCTGCCTTTTAACACAGGGTTTGTTTGTCGCCGTACATTGTGCTCTATTGTTTTTGCAGGTATGACAACCTGGTTGAATCGCTTCATGTCATGTTCACGTTGTACCTAGCGTTCAAGAACAACCCACACTTCGCTCAGCAAGCACAGTGGGACACCCGCAGCGTGGACCCCTCTGTCAAAGTAACCTTCACATGAAGTCATGCACCTCTCTTCAGCTACCCCACTTTGCACTGATTGCTTAACTTCACCAGAGGAGGGACAGGAGAAGGTCGTCTTCATATCGCCACTGTGCTGAACCTTTCCGGAATATTAATGCAGATCACTTTCCCACCATAATGCGCTTATTGCAGATCACTTCGCGACAATTTATTTCAACATATTAATCTTCCCTCCTTCTAGCCTTTCGTGGCTCTCAATTTACAGAACCACACCCGACTACTAATCTTTTCTCTTCCTCTTAGCTTTTTGTGGTTCAACCTATTCATATGATTACTGCATCTGCGTGAATGTGTCAAGGCGCTGTCCTTTATCACTTTCCCATAAGGCCTAGGTAACCCTTTCGACAGAGTCCAGCACATCAGAGCCCCTTCAGCAAAACGAGAAGTCTAAAATATGCAGAGTTTCGTTTTCCTTTTCTGGGCACCATTACTTGTCCCATCAATTTTGCTCCAAGACACGGCCATTGGCGGGCCACAACCGTCGGGGCTTCGCCTACCACTCAAATGAATGACGGCGCCAGGCAAAAAAAAAAAAAAGGAGCCCATGCCCATTCGTTGTTAAGTAGTGAGTAGCAGACTCTACAATTGGGGCTCACCTACGAAGGAGAAAAGGTGACTTTGTGGTTCTCGGACACGTGGTATAACACGTGGCAAAACAACAGAAAAGCGCCAACGCCGGTTTCATTTTTTTATCAGCATGCATCAGATATTCCTGTGGAAGTCAACAACAGATTATGCATCCAGAAAAAACTGGAAACTTCTTGCTTTCTCCAAGACAGTGGAGTTGTGATCCCATTGATGATTGTTCAGAAATAGTATTAAAAAAACAAAAAAACGTATAAAAAACTGTCAGGAAAAAAAAAAAAAAAAAACTTCTCAAATGTGCTTGAGAAGGGGGGGCAGGGGAGGAAGAAGAAGAAGAAGAAAAAATAAAATACACTGGTCAGATTCCCATCCCAGAAGTTACCTGCAGCCACTTCCATATCGCATAATTTGTTTTTTCTAATTTTTGTTTGTTATTTTACATGTGGTAAAGAATTTCGATGCGACCCTGAGGCAAAAGTTGTTCAGTAACTTCAGTTTAATTTTTTGCATATCATTTTTTTTCCAGATTTTTTTGATTTTTTTTTCTTAACAACAAAAAAAAAAACAAGAGACTGTAGCAAGACCTCTGATGTCGGGGAAGGCCATGAACAACGCCCTACACACATCAATACTGCCTGCTCCGTAACACCCTTGCTGAGGGCATACTTTCACAAGTACTTGGCAGTCTGTGTCCACCTGCTATCAGGGCCAGAGAGTTTTTTTGTCTTTTTCTTCTCTTGTGCATGGGCCAGCGCATTCCACGGGATTCTGGCAGTACTACACGGAGGGCACACTCACACACTACTACCAACCCCCATGTATCAACCCAACTTTCTATGCTAAGTGCAGTTTCGTTTTTTTTTTTTCCGCTCTGTAACGCCCTCACTGAGGGCCTAATTGCGCAAATACTTGGCAGTCCGTATCCACCCGCTATCAGGCCTAAAGAGTTGTTTCTCTTCATTTGCTTTTCTTCTCTCACGCATGGGCCAGAGCCACTGTAACGCCCCACTATCTTTTTTTGGAATGGAACCCCTCCTTTTTTTTCCTTCGTGCACGTGAGTACCAGAAATCAAAGCAGAACAGGACCCACGCTCGGCAGAACGTGGCGCATAGTGGAAATCAGGGTCGGCAAAAACAGGCTCGGAGGTACGCGTGAATTAAAGTGAGCTACATTCTTCTCTCAATTTCACCTCACACTACCTGCCTACTGCTACTCCTAATTATAGTCATAAGAGGGGACCCGTAGCAGCCAGAACCGTGTTCACGAGAGAACATGCGGGGGCTGCTCCCGACCTGCAGGTGGGCGATACCAGCCAGGACACAACCGGTAGCATCAGGGACCATCATGCCAACAGGACCAATCCCTGTGCATCCCGAATTTAAAAAAAAAAAGAGACTAAATATCACCATCTGGGCACGTCATTTTTCTTTTCTCCCGACATGTGCCCCATTCAGTTATCGCAAACCAAAGGTGCAAAAGGCATCACAACAAAGACGTCACAGCACCCACATTTTCAACCAACCTTCAGGCTTCAACCATGGCCGCACATCACCTGACCGTCAACGAATCCTTTTTCAGCAACGTCACTACAATCTTCAGCAAATTGGCAATTAGAAACAACACCCATGTCCCAATTCTTGGGACCATTAAAGCATGGCTCAGTGTTTTAGACAATTCTCGCTACTGAGGTCCACCTGTGCCATGTCCAAACTCACACCACAGACGGGGAACACCCACTGGAGCTATATGCTTGCATTCAGAGAGCATTGCACACATGTGACCACAAGACTGGTTAGGTTATGCTATAGCTAAAAATCACAAACATAGCAAACGAGCGCACTTGGTCCTTATCATTACTTCCTCAGTCTTTCTGAAATGTCAAACTTCAAAGATCAGCAAACTATGCAGAAGTATACAGGAAACCACCCAAAGCAGGAAGAGGACCGTTTACACGGCACCGGGGAGAAGAACACATAGGCAAGAACGGGTAGCTGTATTTTCACAGATAACACCGCTTGTGATTTTTGTGTGAGCTGCTAAGACAACAGAAGAAGCCCTCTCATTGACATTAGAAGTGGAAGAAAAGTTGTGCAGTTTTTTCATTGCATGAGGAATTCCTCGGAAGGAAAAGAAAAGAAAAAAAAAAAGCCCTCTACACCGGCTTGGCAGAATGAAGAGTAGCTTAGCCTTACCGTCTTCAGAGGCCTTCACTTGCGTTAAGTTGCCATCAGCAGAGGAAGTCTCAAGGGAGAGAGAGGTGATCTTAGCACTGGACAAAACAGGAGCAGCTCAATCACAAGAGAAGAGCTTGTCAGCGCTGACTCGACACTGCATTCTGTCCGCGTAGACAGCCTCAGGATTCAAATCCAGAAAAAAACAAGACGGCCGCGGCAGCGAGGGAAGTGACAATAACGTCAACTAGGCAACATTTGAAAATCTCTACTCTCGAAGTCAAGACTATGAAACTAAAATACTACTCGAACAACAATTGTGTCCAGAATCCCCATCCCGAAATATCCCTTACCTGGCAAGATTACACCGCAAAACTTGGCGTTTGTAGACCTCCTCCCACAGTACGAACTTTTTTCGCAGCACAGCACAAGGATTGCCACAGATGCGACGACACGCTATGCCTTGCTCTCAACTTCACAGTCGCCAATCCACGTTGGTCTGATTTTTCAGCTCGCTACTTCAATGCTTACATATCTATATTCATCAGCTTGCAGAGCTCAGGGAATTTTTAGAAGAACAAAAACGCGAAGCCGTTGTTCGCACAATTTTTCCGGGATCATGATTCTGGAGACGAGGGAGGATACGGATCTCTTCTGTTCGTAGCAGGATGACAACAACCTCCCGAAACACAAACTCTTCGAAGATCTGCCTCTTTAGACTCTGTGCTATAAGACAGGCCGGTTCTGCAAGAGAATGTGGTGGCCCCCGACGAAGCAACCCAGCGTACGCGCACTTGAACGATGCCCAGGTGCCATATCACGCACGCCCAAGAGGTAATATAATCAGAAAACAACTACCAAATTGCCCGGCGACCGCCAAAAGCCAGGTCTCGTATACTGCTGTGTCCCAATTACCAGGGGAACCGTGCTGTGTTCCTTATGCTCCAACGGCACATGAAAACCGCTTCCTTCGATTGAAAATCCACAGCGTTCACAAACTACACAACCTTCACCACTGGCAAACAGAGATGAGCATTGCTTATACTGTCCTAAAATACCAGAGAACAGATGCTATTACCAATCCGCAAGCCTATGACAAGGCAGATCTAACATCTTCATTTTGGCTGCTGAGGTGTACCTAACAAGAAGAGAGAAGACTCACCTAGTAGGCCTGCGCCACAGGCCTTCACCAGATTCTGCACTACACTTGTGTATGGCCGCCATATGCTTCTACTTCCATGTGCTGCTTTTACCAAATACAGCAAGCACGCAAGAGTGGTGTATTGCTTTGACGGCGGGCACTCTTGGCATCGACTTGAGTAACAGGTGTAAGCTTGTCTGCAAAAGAGCTCTTGGCATCATCATCGGCAACTCTCTCCTCACATGAGAGTAATCTGCAAAGCAATAGCTCCATCATGGAGAGACTAGCATTCGGCAACTCTCTCCTCACATGAGAGTAATCTGCAAAGCAATAGCTCCATCATGGAGAGACTAGCATGCAGCGAACGAAGGACACAGGAAGAAACAATTATCCCCCTTCAACTACACTCCAAAGGCCCACCTGTTACAATTGCCCGTTTCGACTCTTTGCACATGACACTACCCGCCAGCAATGGCTCCACAGAAACTAACGCCCAACTAACTAACGACACCGGAAGAAATATTCGCCTTCCCTCTCAGGGAAACTACTCTTCAAAGCCCCACCCAATACGATCGCCCATTTGGATTGTGTATAGGTGAGATGGCTGGGGAGGTGACCGACCACTCGTACCAGACCTGCAGTCATTCAAAGTCGCAACACACAATCACACCAAAGATCGTCAAGTCACCGTAAGCTCTCCTCCTCGTTATCAGCATGCAATCATTCATGAAGCAACATTACATCCTCCCATCCAATCCTGCAGAGTCTATTGGCCAATTGCTGCACCAGATGGACAACGCTTCGGCAGCAGACTTAATCCACACGCACAGTGGAAGTCTTCGTCCTCTCGTACCAGGCTCTACTTAGCCTCAGCCTCTAGCACAAGGGTTCTGCCGCTCCTAAGGTTATCAGTGCATGCACCATAAAAGCACAAGTGGGGTTCCATAAATCTGTCATGACAGTTCCTCAGGGTTATCTTAACACTTCACCACATCGGCAACACAAACGCATTACTCACATGCGTACGCTCACCACATTATTCAACCACAGCCACAGCCAAATCCAGTCAACAAAACTCCACGTGCATGCGCACAAACCAACACGGTCACTGGGGGGGCTCTCGCACACACCTACATTATTCAAAAGCTGGCCCTTGAGATTTGCGGGCCCACTCTCACACATACCATTATTCAAAAGCCCGCCCTTAAGATCTGTGCATCTTACCCCCTGACCATATCCATGCAGCGACTCCAAAGGTATCAGCCCATTAATCACTCTTGAGAGATGGATTAGGTATCGGTTTAATCATATCAAATTATTGATCAATCAATCAAGCCCCCATATATTTAACCATATCAAATTATTGATCAATCAATCAAGCCCACATATTTCTTCATAACCCGCATCCAACAAATGAATTGGCGCCAATCTACGACATGATGAAAAGTTCATAAGCATAAGAACTGCCGGATCTCAGCTGGTAGAGACAACAGTAGGCTAATATTTGCAACTACTCTGCGTGTCTATTCATGTTCGCCGTGCACAATGTATTTGTATTAATTTTGTAACAAATAAAAATAAAATTTGTTGACGGACAGTAGACTGTATTTAGTTCTTCCACCTACAGAAAGAGCAAACACGCCAACCAAACAAACGACATAAAACAGATGGAAGGATAAGGCAAACAAGAGCGAAAAGCAGCAACAAGACACGATAAATAAGCAGATGCCAGATGGTATTAGAATGTAAGGGCCTCGCTCCACTACAGATTTTGAATGTTAGATAGGTAAGTAGGTAGCCGGTCCGCATTTCGGGCCCATATACATGTAGTTTTGTGTTGTGGAGTGGGGGCCCTAAGAATCAGAACAAAGGTAACAAACAGCTGACAGCAGAACTTTTTAAGATGTTGGAATCAGAGGCACCAACATACAGAGTCAAGTCAGAAAATGAAATACCTTTGTTGAGCTGACGCATCGCCAGAAATGTGCCACAAGTGTTGATCCAGCTGGAACATACAACGGAACCCGCAAGGGAAAATAGATTGGGAACCTGTTGAATGACAGCACACAGACACCAGTCACAAGACGGTCAACGGTATTAGACTTTTCCATTTAGATTTTGTTCTGTCAACGCTTTCAAATTTCAATTCTTCCCTCAACTTTCTTTCTTATTCAGATTCGTGTGTTCAGGACTTTTTTTTTCTGTCTTCTCTTCACTTTCCCTTGCTCTCATTGTTCCCTTGCTCAACTTTCTTATTCATTCAGATTCGTGTTACATAAAACACATGTTCCTTCTATTCCTCCTCTTTCTGAAATCCTGTACCTGTTTCTTCTTTTTCTCTCTCTCTTTTTTTTTTGTCTTTTCAGCTCTCTTTACATAAAACAGCTGTCCCTTTTATTTCTCCTCTTTCCTTTCCCTCTTTTCACCGTGCCTTCCAGCTTTCTGTAGTTAGCATCCAGGTGCCCCCAGAGTCCAGACAGACCCCTAATGGGCACACTCGCACATGGAGAACTCACGGTGGCAGAGGAGGTAAAGACGGGGTAAACAAAGAGAGAGAGAGAGAGAGAAGGGGGGGGAGAGAGGAATGATAGCGCATGACAGCACAAAAAGCGAAGACGAAAGAGTTAATATACATTTCTCTTTCAGGGCATACTCAAACTAGGACTTTTTCTACAAAGCTATGGGATCGATTGCAGTTAAGACTCGTCAAGGACCGTCATTGCAGTCAAATGCATTTCAAAAAGTGCTAGCGTGAGTGTGCCCTCACTGCGTGAAATATTGATCAACAAAGAATGCATTTGCAGAAAAGACAAATGGGCTCGATTGCAGTTAGACTCATCAAGGACCGTCATTGCAGTCAAATGCATTTTTAAAAAGTGCTCGCGTGAGTGTGCCCTTACTGCATGAAATATTGATCAACAAAGAATGCATTTGCAGAACAGACAACAAAAGAATTGATCAAACAGGACAAACAAGGCAGGACAAGCCTCGCTAAAACTATTGATTCTGCCTTTTCCATTCTCTTTCCTCTTTCCTTTTCCTGCTGTTCTGGACCAAAGTTGTACACATAGTTCATTTCTTCCTTTTGAGTTTTTTTTCCCCTTTCTTTGCCCTTGCGTTGGAAAGCACAGCCTTGGGGAAATAGGTCTGTTTCATCCTATGGGAGATTCTGGCATTGTAACGCCATGCATGTCACTCGCTTCCAAAAAGCTAGCTAGACAAGGATAAAGCAAGAGCGAACAATACTCAGCAGGTGCACTGAAGGCCTACCAGCTGAACATGTCAGGAGTTGCAGTCGCTGGTTCTATTCCAAGATGAACATCCTTGTAAAGTGTCGCATCGAAGTACCCACCAAACCCTGCGTACAAATACCAACAAATTCCCCACAAACAGTGAAAAGCATATAATTAAGCCAGATTCCAAACATCCCTCTCTTCCACACATGTACAGTAAGCTTCCCTAATTGATCTTCAGATTTCTTCGCTGTACATGTGTGCAGCAATGACTGAAATCATTGGGCTCAACCATCTGGTGACAACCTCATCCATCCCTACCATTCTCTTCTCTTTCCATGGGTGTACCAAAAATGGATTCAAATTTCAATTTATTCTTTTTACCATGCCATCAACCCTACCAGAAAGAAATTTGCTGTGTGCATAACCTGCACGTCCTATCGAATGCGAACGGAATCCAGAGAGTCCACCTAGCGCCTGTGAGGCTTATACGTGTGACTACAAACAGACCATGAGTTCAAATCCTCATGCAAACAACAAAACTTAGGTGATGCCTCCCGTTCTAATAACAGTAATAACTAAAAAAGTTAATGGCGCCACAACTTCACAATTATCATTTATTTTAATATTTTTACCATACAACATTTTTCCCACACAAATGCAAAATGACATTTCAGCAACAATTTCCCACTTCACATTTATTCTTGCCATTCAACCATTTTCCCACACGGATGCAAAATGACAATTCAGCAACATGGGCATAATTCCCTATGTGTATCTCACTTGAAAGTTACACAATAATATCCCTTTTCTGTGCTGATCTGTCTTGAATTGGTCCAATTTTTTTCACTCCACGGGCACAGCTGTCACACCAACGGTCGGCACTCCTCAATTTTCCCCGCAACCTACCAGCCAACCAATCCACCAGTCCGCTGCCGCTCAGACGCCCCCAAAAAGAACAGCCCCCAATGCAGCCATACTGCACCCATACCAACCCTGTACTCCTCCCAAGAAGTTTCTCGGCGGATTTGGGCTATACTCCGCAAGCGTACAGCCCCAAACTCGAATTTAAAACAAAATCAGTGGGATGGTCTGCCACCAGCGGCAGGAAAACTACCTTGTACACGAGTGTCCAAAGGGATGACAAGAGTGCCTCCTCTATTACGAAAAGAAGAAAACACTGCACAAAAGGATCCGAGCTTCACCACATGGAAATCAGACTGTGCTCAGAGAACAACCCCCCCCCCCCTTCCCCACCTCCAAGGCCCTCGAAACAGGTCTCGTAACGAAAGGAAAACACAAAAACATGAAATATATAGATACTAGTATACTACCAATGGACATTCAAATCACCACAGTTTAAACACCAAAGGAGAATCCAAGAAAAACAGGCTGGACAAGGCGGCCTTACCGTGCACAGCAGCTGATCCCATGTCCGGCGAGAACTCAAAAGTCAGCTTCTTGTACCTCCTGTTGTCAATCTTTGGTGACCAGTTCGGATGCTCAAACGTAAAGACCTTCGCAACATGAGAGACAGAGGCCAACAAACAGCAAATCACTGAGGACATATGAACAGCTGGCGAGTGTGCATAGGAATGTTGCATGAATGAAATGTTCGGCAAGTGCAGACGGACGACACAACCCGTTGACCAACAAACAGCAAGAACAACGCGGAACTTCAGAACTTCCATTTGTCCGCTCTAACGATTGGCTTTCCTCTCTCAAGAGGCAGAAAGACAAAGCTGAGGAAATACCGAACAGATGCAGTCAGGAGTGCTCCTCCTGTGTTAGCAAACACACAATTCTCGAGGCAAAAGTCAATCCCCCCCCCCCCCCCCCCCCCCCCTTTAAAAAAAAAAAAAAAACCCCAAAAAAAAAAAGGGGGGAAAGACAAGGGAAACAAAAGCATGCAAGGATAAATGATTGTACGCCAGTTGCGGGAACAGATGCACACAGTACATACCGATTGAGGTGGACAGAGCTTAGCCACACTGTGCAACTTCACAACATAGCTCGTCTCAAAATGCGCCATGTCATTATGTGCCTTTACCTGAGAAAAAACAAACAGGATACGCAAAAACTACTCTGTAAGAACATGTGCACTTCGCAATGGCCAACAGATACCATCACAGCTATTGTCACTACAGCTTGGTTGCACGTCAGTTGCACAAAAGACAATAATAATTACGGAAGACCGAGACAAATAACTTCATGTTCACCAAAGCACTTCATCAGCTAGTGAACTGACCGACTTAAAGCAGGAAAATAAGAGACCCCTTCATCAGAAGATGATCAACTGAAATCGAAGGAAAACATGACTCTCAAGCACCCACAAAGGAAAAGCAAATGGGCTTTTATTGATCTCAGGTACTTGCGAACTCAGATCTGTATTTCAGCGGTTCACGTGTGCAGAGCGGTGGGACAGCACAAACAAAGTACACACCACACCCTGGTGGGAACCCCAAGGCAGCACCTTCGCCAGTTGCCTGCAGAAGCATGAGCAGGGAAGACATACATTATTGCACAGCTTGGGATATTAATGGAGCGGGACTCCCAAAACCATATCAACCTTAGCAGTCAGATGAACACACAGGAACCAAAACGAGGGTGGCTGCGAACAGGATAGGCATATAGCAGAGCAAACCAAGGTTCGATTCTCAGCCATACATCATTGTACAATTTGGCAGCCGTGATTGGTCCAATAAAGCTCGTGTACCTGCATGCACCGGAGTATCAGGGCTATAGTTAGAAACCCTTCAAAACGCAAAAAGCTCAAACAAATGCATATTCCTCCTTCCGGACATCCGTTAAACATTGGAAGGATGGCATGCATAAGCCAGGGCCAGGAAATGGTCCAAGGACAAAAAGGCGCACAAAACCTCAATGACTTTTCACCCTCTGAGAAACAAATGTGCTCATACATGAATCAGCCATCCCAAAGGAATCGCTTGCACAGTCTGTCACAGTCGTCCTTCCACTGTTCAATCAAACACATAGCTTCACATATTCATTCACTGGCAGTCCCCCCCATCTTTGCCCAACTCACGCTATCTTTCTCACCAAAGCAAGCAACAATCCCCTTCGTTGACCCGAAACAGCATCTTCGTGAATTTACTCGTAACCATTCATTCCTTCTCATGGCAATTCTAGCTCCATCGTGCAACTGGCTGGATTTCATCAAAGGTTGTTCGTAGCCACCAGACATCACTCAGAATCAGCTGCTGAAATGTGAGAAATTGTAGGAAAAAAAATTGGAAACTAGACTGAGAACACTGTACCGAGCATTCAGATGTGAGTAGAAGGATAACGGAGAAGACTCACGCTGAGGGTATTGATATGCCATCCTTCTTCAGGAATCGTTGGGCACCATCGAGACATTCTGGTGACAGTTCATTGTCACCAAACGACCCAAGCAACTCGCTGACCTGTGCCACAACCATTCACATCAAATGAAAATGACAGTCAGTTCCCAGGCATCGTTTGGGCACCATCAAGACATTCTGGTCACATTTCATTCCCAGCAAATGACACAACCTGTGCCGCAACCAATTCACATAAAATGAAACTGACGGTCGGTTCTTTACTCCTTTTCACACACGCGTAGCATGGGTTTCATCCATTCTGTAGCATGGGTTTCATCCATACTGATTACTGAGTGTTAACTGGAGTTTGTCTGTAAGGAACAACTCCAATTCAGACCTCAGTTTCACTGTATAACCCAAATGGTGGACATGAAAGAATACATTCACAAACTTGAATCAGAAGATCTGATTTACACACAAAGCCTACTTTCTGTCTCACCTGTCTTCCCAAGACACCAATTCTAGAGACATTAATCTCCATGCCTCTCATTCAGGGCTCTGTGTTTCCGCCTTCCCATCAATCATAGATAGGATTCAGGGTTGTCACAGGCCCGGCCCTGGGGGTCCGGACTAGCCCCAGGGTCCGGTGCGGTGGTCCCCTGACCCCGGCCAGCGAGGGGCCAAAAAAAAAAAAACTAAAAAAAAGCCAAAACAAAATTCAAAAAGAAAATAAAAAATACAGGGCGATGCGCAGCAGAAGCCTGCACCCCCTGGGCCTAAATGCGAAAATTCAGTTTTAGGCCCACCCCCCCCCCCCCCCCCCCCCCCCCCCCCAGGGCTACACCCTCCCCTGACGACCTCGGGGTGGCCGTGGGGGCGGGGCCGAGCAGGGTGCAGGGCCGGGGATGGTTAGGAGCGGGGGCGGGGGCGGGGGCGGGGGTGCGGGGCCGGGAGCTGGGGCGGGGGCAGGGGTGCGGTGGTGGCCGGGTTGCTGGGGTTGGGGCAGGGGCAGGGGTGCTGGGGTCGGTGATCCCCGCTGCGGGGGTCCAGGGGTGAAACCCACACCCCGGCTCAGGCCCCGGGGATCCCCGCGTGACAACCCTGAGAACCTATTTTAGGATATAGCGAGTGTCAATTCCTCACAACTACACCCAAAAAACCCTTGACCCTAAAAAACACTAAACCCTAAGAACCCTAAACCCTCAAAAACCATATGGCAAAAAAAAAACAAAAAAACATGCAAAATGCACCACCACAGAAGTCTCACACGACCACGAATGCCCGCATCAGAGGCAGAGGCAAGAAAAGAGTGATTTTTCTCAAATCTATATATTATGCGAGCGGGCACATTGTTCAATCCTGAATAAGCGTAGAGTGGCAGCACATTCTCAAATCATGCATAAAGACCGTCCTCAAAATCACGCTCTAAGATAAACGTCGAAGCTACTGGGTATCCGAAGACTCACCAAGATATCTGCTTTCTCCGGAGCTTCCCAACTTCTCATGTCACATGATACAATCGTCACAAGATCCTTCCAGCCTTCCAACGCAACTAGACTCTGTCCGTGCAACAAGAAAGTAACACAAGAAAGGGATAGCATGAGCAAAAGCCTAATAACCAAAAACAAAAAAAAACGGAAAAACATAAAGCTCCAAATCAACACTATACAACCTGTGCCAAATAGATCATCGAGGGGTGCAGCTCCTTGAGCTTCCCTCGCAGTCATGAGACTTTGTCGTTGGTCGTCGACTGAATGGCGAATTACAAGAATATGTGTCTGCAACAGCCCCGCAGGAGTAAAAACCAAAGAGAGACAAAAGAACTACATGATCCCCACAAGTCGACAAGAGCAGTCCATTCAACAAATGGCCAAAATACCTGATGGAAAAATTAGGAATTTAGTTTGATTTCCAAGACGTTTTAAAAGATTCTCTACAAACGTTTTCATACATTTCTCAAGACGCTGTTGTTGCAACACCAACAAACTACCGAAATATCCCCTGCAATGCCCATTGACACCATGCCTCTAATCAAAACATTAGCAAGCCCTAACGACGTGAAACAGATGTCACAAAGACCGGAGAATCACTGCACTAAACTCACTCATCAAGCTCCACGTTCTGTGTACAATGTACTACAAACTCCCCAGCAACATCCAAAAAGCAGAACCTCATACATGCAATATATACGATAGATTTATCATTAGATTGCCCTTGGCAACTTGTTCGAAGAACCACCATTGCAGAGATTATGCAGTTCAAGCAGTTCGCAAAGAACCATACAACATACCATCCTCTCTCTCTCTCTCTTTGATTGTGGAAAAGATATGATAATTTTGATTACATACATGCAAGGTAACAACAGCATTGGGATTCTTCTCCACCGCATATACTCGGAGTTTCAAGTTTGCCTCTTGAGCTGCCTGATCAACCAACCGAGAGCACAACATCACAGACCCAAACAAGATAATTAACAAAGAGCAGAAAACAAGAAAATCAGGCATAACTTGGCAGTGGCAACATCTAGTCCAACCAGAGAAGGAAAAGTGTGAAAGTGATTTCAACCCATACATTTTTTCCCAGCATTTCACAGCATTCTACTGATTCTCCAAACCTCGAAACTTCCAGAAAAAAAAAAAAATGTAAAATTTGCAGACAAACAAAAAATAACTCCTTGCCTCTCTACTTGTGAAGCAGCCCACAACCTCTTACTCTGTCCCGACCAAGCAAAAGTTGCAATACAAAAAAAAAAAAAAAAAAAAGAGTTTTTGTTCTGATCGCAATATCAAATCAATCCGAAAATGTAGAATTCAATTCTGCGTGGCTGCATGTGGAAACACTTCCGATGAGAGAATTCACCCAGAAAATCTACTCGTGGCAGGTTGTCTTCTTGAGTTTCACAATCACATTTGGAATGCTATCAAAGCTTTTTGCATGCACAAAGCATTGCTTGTGAATATTAAAAACTATATAGCCTCAGCCTCAACAAAAACAGGGGAACGCAACAGAAAAGAAAATAGAGAGGAGTTAAACAGATTCATGAAGACAATCCAATTAATGCCCAAACAATGCAGAAAGGACGCCGACATACCTCCAATGCTGTTCTAACAAGGGGTCCACGTCCTGCACCAACTACCATAAGCACCTAAAGAAGAAACCAGCAGTCCAACAACACAGCAAAACACCAATGTCACTGCTTTGTTACTTACCCATCTCCACAAAAGCTGCAAAAGCAAGGGGGGAAAAAAAAACACGACACAGAAAGCACTAATCAAGCAACTGACTGAGCTCCAGCTACTGCATGGATGGCAGGCCTCTTGAGACAAAGCTGGATAAAAGAAGTTCGGAGTTCACTCCAAGCAATATACTTTTACTGGAGTTAGATTCCCTTTTTGTCGTTGGATCATCCACATTTGGCAATCATTACCAAAGGTGTTCAAAAGACATAAAAAAAGCCATTCCCGCGTGTCTTACTCGCGAGTAGAATGATGCCCTTTGTCATACACATGAGTTCGTCGAATAGCGAGTGAAACTTAGCAAACTTCGTCGTACTTCAGCGCACAGTTGCGTTAATGTGTGCTTGTTGAGAGGCATTCATATCAGTAGCAGTGATCCAAAACACACGCAACAAAAGACCACCAGACAATCCCACTCCAATATGCCAGAGAACAGCTGCCTCTCTCACAAACAATCACTCACAAAATGGCTGGTATGAGACACCTACCGTGACAGCAGTTTCCGCATCCTCTTCTTTCACACGCTCTCGAAGAGCCATGTAAATCGCCAATTTGTACTGCAAGCAACTCCCACAACACATCCAACAGCAGCATAGGTCCAAATTTACCAGTATACCGAAGAACCACGCATCCACCACACCAACAACTTCCATCTCTATCTTCCTTCTTTACTGTGGTTTCATTAGGTTGATCTTTTTTCTGCATAGCACCATCTTTCGTTCCCTGCCGATCACATTCTCTTCAAGAAGTTCCGGCACCACATCACATCAAGCAATTCAGCGATGTCCAAATCCTTGCACTCCGTACGGGGAGGCTCGCCACAGTTCCACTACCAAATGCACGTAGGTTCTGCACAATCATGAAAAATCAATTGAAGATAATGCACCTGTTTTTTTTGGGGGGGACGGGGGAAGGTTTGACCATGCATAACACAAAAACAAAATTTAATGTAGCCAGCAAGGGCAGCCAAAATGCCAGAGAGGAGCTACCGACGCTAACGAAAAAAAAAACAAAAAACAAGAAGACTTTCTCACTGTCTCCAGTCAAGTCTCACTAATTGCTGCCAATCAATGCCGCATACCCCAATGGTTAGCAAGGATCCAGAGTCCCTGCTAACCCCTCGTTACCCCCCCC